GAATTCAGAACCGACTTGCCACAAGAACGCTCTTCATTGTGGCGATTTATCATACAAAAGCACACCACAAGAGCGGCGCATTGTTGTGCGACAGTCGCGACAAGAGTGAAATTGCTGGTAAATTGAATTAAGCTCATTGCATTGAGAACAAATATTCCACGAATTCTCCCCGACTGTCATAATTTTATTTTCCCTCTTTTTCTACCCCTACTGCACAAATTCTCCTTCTCCGCCACGGCGATTCCGGAGTGAAATGATCCCGCACCTCGCGATACATTTTCCTCGACGGAAACATTACCATATCCTTTGTGCGACAGTCTATTTGGAAATGAAATATTTATTCTGTCCAACCAAGAGTAAATTCTCGCGTTTATTTACATTTGCAGGGATTTTTTTATCTATACCACTCTTTCTCCTCACCCTATCAGTCGTTGCCGGTTTAATTTGCAAATATTTACATGGGGCTTAAATGAAAATATTCCATAAAATACTGAACAGAAATTGCAAAGACATCCCATTCATTTCCTGCACATCAATATCATCGACCAAATGCTCACAAATACTCTGCGATTTGACTGAATAGGAGGAAACCGTTAAAATGCCACACAGCGGTTCGGCTCATTTTGATATGGCCCCTGAAAACTATTTTAATGAAGTGCCCGACACCCCTCCATCTACCCTCGCCTTTGAGTACAGCCACAGAGAATGCCAACTATTAAATGAGCCGTATATATCAGTGTTTGTGCTGTACAATCAACCCCCTAAACGACACAGAAAGGCAGATATCAATTTCCCAAGAACCATATTTCCAGGGAATTTATGACATTTCTCTAACGTTTTATTGGTGGAACCAGACTTTTGGGTCGATGCTAGACGCAAGGCTTTAATTTTATTTTTTTCATATTTCCCTCTACACTCATGAATATCTTTCTGCTGAAGACGTTTTCTGTTGGGCACAGAGCGTGTCTCAAGGAGACAATATCAGATGAAAGTCTAGGGTTCTAAATTTCTCTCCTTTTTCTCCCCCTTGACGTCTCTCAGTGGGATAGAAGAGCATGAGTAAATTAAAATTGAGCATGACAGTGTCGTGACGCAAATATTCATACTCTGAGGAGGAATATTGAACAAATCTTCGGAACGCGCAAATCTTACAAGGAAATTTTACCAGCGTCAATTTAGCTTTACTATTTGCAATGGTCCTCTGCTCACTATATGTAACTCGAGTAGTCTGCAGAAGAGTCTCCTCTTCCTCCCATTAATTACACGTCATGCCCTCCAATATGACCATTTCAATTGAGAGTGACGGGCTAAAGAAGAAATTATCATAACAATACACTCCATGAAAATTACAAGAATTTCTCCTCATCTTGCTTGAAGTGAGCAGAAAGAATAAAAATGAACCGTCAGACGACAAGTGGAATTCAAATTAAATGAAAGTGAAGCTCTCTGCTACATTTCACACAATGTATATATAACATTCTCTCTGGTTCGCACTCTAATTATGTTGGAATCACTTTATGTTCGATGGTATTTTTCATTATTCTCCCCGCCAACGTTTCTTCAAGATGTTTGGTAATAAAAACCAGTGCACTTTGCAATTTGTTTGCTAAAATATGCAAAGAAATGTTCCAACATTTTGTTGTTGAATTCTACTGTTAAGTGAGAAAATGTCAATAATTTAGAACCATTGCAGTGCTTGACTGCTTTCTTCTCGCAGTAAACTCTTGAAGAATATCGGTTTCAGCCATGGAGGAAGTTTGCCTTCATTATGCAGTTCATGTGGAGTGAAGTGGTTCGCTATTCTCATACAAAATTCACACAGTCATTTGTGTTGTTGCAGAGATTGAGTGACAAGTGCATCTTTTCCACTCCCTACACCCCCATTTTACTCTAACAAACCGCCAAGTTCTCGTGTTTCGTCTTGCCATTCTTCATTAAGTCTTAAGTGGAACAACAACTTTCAAGCAAACCAGAGACAATTTGTTCCTAAATTGTGAAACAATAAGATGTCCAGTCTTATCCGAAAGATCGTATCAATTCAACGTAATAATACCTAACGTCGCAATTATAGATTCTCTCCAGAGATCAAAGTGAATCAGTTCTCTAACCACAAATGTAGTTTGAAACTCTAAAATAGATATGTAATGACGAATATTATTTATATGACGGCAATTTATGGAAATCCAATATTCATTTGTCAAAACAAATTTAATCGATTGACCACATTTAACATTAAACTTGTATATTTGCTATGATTGTGGTGAACATTCAACCTCAGTACCGAGTTGAAACAGACATTTGTTAAATTTTTAATTAAATCTATTATAATTATCTGCTCTGGGAAATTAAAATTACTCTCTCCATAAATAGCATATTACTGGTTTCCGAAAACTCTTGTGTAAACATATTTATAATCCGAATCTACTCTTCTAATCCATGGTGATTTCCTGGGGGATGCCACTGCATTGGTAGTCTCTAAGTCAACTGAACAAAGACCATGTGTCAACTTCAATTGTCATGTGCATAATTCGAGAGGTCATAGTTCGCTTTCATTAACCACTTCGATGAATTCAATCAAACTCATGCTGTAGTGCTATAACAGCCCCTCTTCTTCGAGCATTGCATTGGCTGCACAAATGTGTTCTGAAGAAACAGCAATGACACTCCCTTTCCACGTGTCACGAAATAATTCATGCCCAGCAACACTGTTAATTGAATATGACGCTGTGCATCAGAAATGGAGACACATTCCTTCCGCGAAGTGCTTTTATGGACTGGGCCAACGAAAAGAGACGTGAAGTCACTTAATGGACTCCAAAATTAGCTACACTGTTCTTTGCGTCGCAGAAGCGCATTTCACTTGGAGGAAATTGAGTAAGAGATCTTGCTTTTGAGAAAATAGCAAAAAGGGAGTTTCTGGAAGCTCCCGGGAAAACCCAGAAAATTCCCTCTCGCTCCAATGACAATCTTTTATAGTCGCAGAGAAGCGGAAGAAAAATACAATGGGATTAATTTGTGGCTCTGTTGTTGGGTAGCACATTTTTTTTTCTTCTTCTTATTGCGTGTGATTCTTGTGAAAAAGACCGGGACTTTAATAGGTTATAACTAACTTATTGTTCGCAGAAGAACACATTTTTTAAAGTTCTTGCCGTTGTTGTGGACAAAATATGTGGAGTATTCTGCAAAATTCATATAATGCTTGTAATGTAAATTGCCTTTGCGATTCGGCCTGAGAATTTTGCCCAAAATCCATTCTCTCCCCACTTAATCTCAGTGATATATTGTGACCATTGTCATTCTCAGTGGAATTAGAGAGCAATGAAGACAACTAATTAATTGGTGCCCTTCATATTAACTAACATATTCACTGTCACTTGTAGATGTCTCGTTGTGGATTCAAATGAAAAGCCACGCTATTGTTGGTAGTTGAAATTCCAAAGGAAAGTGAACAATACCACAGGAAGATTTTCTCTCATTTTACAACTGCCACCCACTCATTCTGCGGTATGCACACAAATTTATTAATTTATATTTATACCCTCGCCGTGTCTATGTGAATTTTCCATCTGAATTTCTACTGATATAATCCCCGAGTCTTATCTCAATCTCCGTGGTGTTGAGATTACCAGCGAGCGAGAGGGCCAGAACGAAGAGGGAAGGAATGCCAAAAAGCCGTGTCATCATGTTTTGTTTGAATAATTATCGTCAGCAGATTGTGTATCATATTTGCTCTCTTCGCCCAGACTCTGATGAATTGCGATGAGTCGCACAGCGAATTCATTCTGGGAGATGACAAAATTTCACCATGGTGAATTTAATTAATTTGCAATTACTCGTCACTCACCCACACTGACGTCGCGGAATTGAGATTTAATGGAAATAAGAAGAAATTCAGTCGTTTTAAAAATCTCACTCTCGAACATCTTCAAACATAACAATAATACAATTTTCCGTCTTGGGGACGTCGAATTACAGTGAAAAAGAAAAACCTGTAGACATCAGCAGAATTAGCGACACTTCAGGGTGTTGAGAGTGCCTTAAAGACTTAGAAAAGTTATTCAAGATATGTATGTGGGCCGGATCAAGTTATCTTGCTCATTTGCCATGCCTGGCATAAATTTAGAAAAATGGGGAGATCAGTTTTCAAATTAGGCAAATTTGATTATAGGATTATGTACAAATTATAGACATTAAAGCATGAAGAAGTACATGTTCTGAGGCATTCTCATCCGCAGAAAGACAATGTGGCGATATTTGAAAATCAATCAGTCAATGACTATTACACTTTCCCCTTTTTGCTGTCCAATCTGTATTCTGAAGAGACAAACTGCTGCCGAAATCCGATTTATGTTGCCCCCCTACTGATGGCGAGGAGGACCAAAATCGAATTAGACTTGACCAGTCTGTATAGATGGAGAAAAGTGGCTTGATGGTGAAATAAATCGCTGAAAAATTCGCATTCCCATGAGCCGGCTGGAAGACCTCCTCAATTGAGGAGCTTTTGCGACCGTCGGTTGTCTCCAATCGAGGGAGCGAGGGAGAGCGGCAAAAAAAGGGTGTACAGAGCTTAAAGTGACGGACGGTGTGTGTGGTCTCGATTGCTTTTTGATGAAGACAAATTGAATTGATTGCGCCACCACAGAACGTGTCCATCGCGCCCCGAAGTGGGACGATGGAAAAGCTCGAGAGGTTTCCTGCGAGGCAGGAAGATGTGTTGGGGGGGCAAAAAAGTGGCAGACTGCGCGGGAGGGGCTGTGAAAGCGATATTCAGGTTGAGTACACATGTGAGAAATTCAATATTACCCCACAAAACGATCACAATAACAATGTCACACCAAATCGAATGAGATTGTGGTACAATCGCCTGGGAATCAAATCACAGAGCCTCAATTATCTTCTAGAGAGCTTATCACATGGAGTGGATGGGAAAAAGGGATAAAATGGGAGGCACAGGAGAGATATTTCCGATAAATTGTACGCAGAATTGATGAGGAAATTACCTGTCTTGCTGGAGAAAATGACGATATTGATATCCAATATTCCTTGTTCTCTCCTCTTTCTTGCCGCTCGGATTAATATCCAAAATGGGATCCAAATGTTTCACTTGGGAGTGTATCGTCTTCACATGAAATCACTTCCTGCACTGCTCTTTTTTCCCCTCCTATATTCCTCTCACTCTCAACCTCCTTCACACTTTCCTTACACAACTCTTCACTGAACCTCGGGTCACTCGTACAAGAAACACTCTTTCATCTATTTTTTCTACGATTAGTGCTCGCACACACACGGACACCCAAAGAACCTGATACGGTATTTGGTCTCCTTTTTTCCAGGCTCCAGACCTCCCTTGGAATTTACATAATTCCTCTTCGCATGAGTTCCGCCGCTTTATCGCCCTGGGTACACTGTAAGCATAGAGGAGGCATAAAATCGTTAAAACAATGTCCAAGACCAAGGGATGCTGATGGCGGAACATTAGCAGCCATCGAGGCCCAAGCAATCCAGAAATACATAAGTTGAAAAATTAGACAAGTCAAAAACAGGACGTTCATGTCAATCACACCATTTTCTCGACTCTGCCAGCCACACTGAAAATGTGGGAAGGAGGACAAATCAAATATTTAAATGAGGAAAAATATGCATTAAAAGTATGTGACGATAAGGGAAACAAATTTAATTTCCCCACAAGATGTCGGAAGGAATTTTAATTTTCACCAAGGGCAATTTTGAGGCAAAATACACGCTAACGCAAATTTCTGCTTTATATCGCGCGTGGTGAACAGTGGTGTCAGAAGGAATACGCTCAAAACATTATATTGCACATAATTGGAACCGATCATCTGTAAATACTATTGGCTTAAATCTATTTCCAGAGCTCTGCGAATGCTTATAATTGCCATCCTGAATCTCTTCTTTATCTGTTGCGCAAAACTTTTATGCTCATACGGAAAGTTTAAGAATTGTATTCAAATCGTGTCACAAACACTTAACACAAAACTCTGAACTTTCTATTTTGTATGCAATATTTTAGCACACTATTCTATAGTCATTGCTAAATTAATTTTCAAACTTTTGCAATTGCATTCTGGCTATTTAAACAGTGATCCACTTAAATGCAATTTCACAGTGGAATTATGAATATCTCATACTGAATTCTTTTAAAGCCATTTTTCACCTCATTGAGGGATGTTTTAAAACTTTGAAGAAATCACAATTGAGAAAAATATATAACTTTCAAATTGTCTTGTTGTGCAATGGAGAATGTGTCTGGCATTATGCAACCCGTGAAATTCGCAATTTATTGGCAAAAAGCGACGAGGTGTCGAGTCTTCTTGCCGCCACTGTTGTGTGGCGGTCGCCGAAGATGGCGTTGCTGCGGCTGCAGCTGGAGATCACTTTGGCGATCGAGTCACAATATCGCCGAAGCACTCACACAGTCCAATGGAGTGTGATTTGATCTGAGGTTGTGAAACCGGTCTGCGGCCATTATTGTTGCTCCTCGATCGGGCATTTCTCTATCTCGCGATCGGTCGAAGATCACACTTTGAGCACCACGAAGGGCAACAGAATGGTGAACCCTGAGCAGCAGGGCGAGGATCGCGTACACTGAGTCACTTGGTGTGTTTTTTTTTTTTGCCTCCGCGCTCAGAACACGTTTCGCTTGGCGTTTTTGACCAAATCGGTCACGAGGCTGACGTCAGCAGTGGAAATACTGGGCAAGACATGCATTTTTGCGCCCGAGAATGATGCTGAAGACATTCTCACGGGCGAAGAATAAGCCCCGAAGCCGGGATTTAGGGTGGAAAATCAATATGGGCATTGTATACTGTAGGGACTGAAGGTAGTTTTTACTTCCCTGCAGTACTTGAGGAGAAATGGTGTGTTAACAATAAACATCTGCCAATTTCCGATGAAATATGCCCAACAGAAGGTAATATTTTTTTGGTGAACTATGACGAAAGAGAAAATGAGGCTTTTTGCCTATCACAATCACACACTCACATTGTACAAAGTTCTTCAACTTCTTTTTGCATCCACTGAAAATTATACAGCTCGCAATTCTCTCAGGGAGAAGTCTGCTCGAGCGTTCATACTTGAGAATAGAGATCACGTCTTGGACCCATTGTTAAGGTCACGAAGAGTGCACTGTAATCCTCTGGGGAGAGACAGGCCCAAGAATGTGACTCTGCACAGCACCGCACACGATTTCAGCCACTCTACTTTTTCTCCCAATTTCTGCCAACAATCTCACTGGCAATTGATCGGCAATGCCATAGACACGGAATCGTGTGTACAATCTCTCTGACGACACGCTAAAAACCACTACATCGAGTTCTTGGCGACCGGTGTGAAGTAATCCGCACACGTCGGTTAATTAAAACGCACTGAACCTCATACGGAGCTCACACAGAGTTACCCTATGGCGAAAATCCGTGGAATATCCAATGGATAACCATGGACGATTTCCAAGCTATCCGCGTAATAGCATCCATGGAAAATTCCTCGGAACTCCGTGGATCAACAAGGAAAATCCTTGGATTCAGCATGGAAGATTCCATGCTGAATTCCATAGGAATTTAGCTAGGATGATTTTCCATGGATTATTTCCCACATTGCTTCCAAATTTTCCATGGTGACTTTTCCCATATATGGAAGATTTCCATTGTGATTCCATTGACCAATCCAAGGACGATTACAAGGAATACCATGGAGGAAATTCCAATGTGTGAAATTTCTCCCAGAAATTCCCGGCGCTCCGCCCCAAAATATCCAAAAAAAAGATTCATTTATATTTGGATTTGTATTTATTAAATATTAACTATCAAGCTTACAAATGTGTATCAAATTTTTATGACGCGTTGCCTTGGTGGCTGCTATGCCGCTTCCCAGGGACTGCTACTCTTCTAGACGACTGCTACCGTGGTCGCCGGATGTCGAGATGCTCTTTGATGTCTTCTCGCACCGGTCCGGATATGTTTGAGAAATGCTGGAAAATAGAATACACAAATTACTGATCGTATATTTGCATGGTATTCCCTCCATGGTATTCCTTGTAATCGTCCTTGGATTGGTCAATGGAATCACAATGGAAATCTTCCATATATGGGAAAAGTCACCATGGAAAATTTGGAAGCAATGTGGGAAATAATCCATGGAAAATCATCCTAGCTAAATTCCTATGGAATTCAGCATGGAATCTTCCATGCTGAATTCCAAGGATTTTCCTTGCTGATCCACGGAGTTCCAAGGGATTCACCATGGATGAAATTCTAGCATGGAAATCTTCCATGGTTATTTATAGGATGTTCCATGGATTTTCGCCATAGGAATTCGAGAACATGAAGAACATTTTTTACCTTGTCATGAGTCACACTCTGTCGGATAAGTAGATCCTCCGGTAACCGCTTTTCCGCATCCTATTTTCCTGTAAAAAAGACATGTTCAGTATAGAAAACAGGATATATCTCTTATGTTTCGGTAATTCCATACTTACATTAGTTGTTTCTCCTACTTTGACGTTGTCCGGAAACCTCGAGTCTTCTCTGACTGTGGGGTCCCTGTGCCGTCTCCATCGCATACATTCAGCACTTTTCCTGGAAATATCACCAAACTTAGAGTGTTTACCATTAAAAACTTAACGTTTTAGTACTGAAAAGTACAGAAAATACTTACGCGTTCTTTCCTATGAGAAGAATTTCACAAGACTGACGTAATCGCGTGGGGACGCGCAAAGAGCGAATTATTCCGTGGAAAACCCATGGATATTCCGCGGATTTAACACCATGGAAAATGTTCCATTCTAATATCCATGGATGGCCAAAAGGAATATGTATGGAATTATTCCATGGTATCTTGCTTGGAATAAAGTGGAATTTATCCATGGAGGATAGCTTGGAATTCCGAGGATTTTATTCCTATTATAGGAACAAAAGTGGAAGATATTCCATGGACGATTTCGGATCGTGGAATCCGTTCTCCATAGGGTACACGGCCTGTAGCCTACAAGCATCGGCTCATGGCAGGGGAGGGCGCGCATGAGTGTTTGTCGTGACTGGAAGGCCGCTGGAGTGGGGCAGGCACTTCCAGTTGCAGCGACTGGAGAACACCGGCCAGAGTCGAACTCGGGAAGTGTGCTGCGGATTGTCTGCCGTCAGGAGAAATGCCGTTGACACTGTCCAATATCCATGAAACTGGTGCATGGAATGAGCACTTTTTCACGCTGCACAAATGTGATGGAATACTCTTCGTGTCACCCTGATTGGAAGGGTCAAAGAGGGTCACCCCCACTCATTGTCGCACTTGCCGGTGAAGACACACTTCAGGTGCGGTGCATGCGAAGAACTTGCGCGTGGAATTCGCAATTGCACGGGAATTTCTTAGAATACTGCGAATTAAATGCATCACCCCAGGTCAGAATTTCTCTGTAAATTGTCTAAAAGTTCCATGTAACGCAATTAGTTCTTTCTTGTAGAAATCTTCGCAGTTCATTATGAAACAATGTTTTTCCCAGAAGGATTCTGAAAAGCACCACTGAATGGCCTCTGCGATGCAATACTCAACAATAGCCAGTTACGTGCGACTTGAATTGATACTACGACACTTTTCCTAGCCAGTAACGAGACACAATTCGCACATTATGATGCCACAATGCACTTAAATCGATCAGGATATTTTCCATGCCTGACCCAGGGTTTCCTCTCCATTTGCATTCTTCTGCAACAATGCCGAGAAGCTGTATCATTAACCAGGTCCACTTGTGCACTCTCTGTGATATCCTGTAATCAGTGTCTTTTGTGGGGCAAAATGTGAGAAGAGCACTGCAAGCCTCAGGCACGACAATCGTGCACACAATATGAGCTTTTTCTCGAGCTTTTTGCAATTAAGCAACCTTACATATTCACCTTGCAAGTCACTTTCAGGACACATTTTCGTTTTCCAACTGCTCTAATTCATTTAGGCAAATGACCTGTACAAATAATCCTGGGCTTCGCCGTCGAATGTACACGAGTGTGCAGCAATTTGGATCATTTCCCTGAAAGCCATTTGCACAGTCAATCAATTTGCCGAACAATGGTCAAGTCTATTCAGCAAGTGGAGCAATCCTGTGTCGAAGACAAAATTGTAAATAAGTCGAGTGTTGCATGAAAGTTGTGCCTTATCGGGAGCTGTCATTGACATCCTCCTCGTTTACGAGTGGAACGGAAGATGCATTGCCAAACAGCAAAATGCAGACAAGCACCCTCATCGCAAATATATTGATTGAAGTTGCTTCTTCACACAGCATCTGTGCATCTTGTGGTTTCTTGGGACTTCCCAAGTTAAGCGAGGCGTCACTCTAGGGATGGCAGCTTGATTATGATTGAGTTGTTTTTTCGACGCTGTTCCCCGGCAATATGTGGCTTAAGCTTATGGGGTGAGTTATGAGATGAAGGCAAAATATTTATATTTCTCCGGTTAGTTTATGTAGCGAATAATGGCTTAGCGAGCTATTAACTCAATTTTTCATGTTGCATTTAATTTATTAGACTTGGTCACACGATTCAGACATGATTGGCTTTGGCTTTTCTCGTACTCCCCGATTGGGGAAGCCAGAAAGAGCTTCAATTAATATCTGTAAATATTATATTGCAGACTTATAAAGTCAATTTTCATTCATATGGAAGTTTTAATTGAAATGAAATTTAATTTGAAATCTATTAAGGAAACTGAAAAAAATTCCAATTGACCTTTAATATCTATAATCATGTTCTTTTCTATCAATATGCCAATTAATTTGAAATAGTTATCAATCAACGTCGCATGTAAATTCAGTTTGGAATATTGAAAGCAGGAGAAATTCTGTGAATTTTAATGAACTCCCCCCGAGTGGAGTGGCGATCAAAGAGGAGTTTTGAGAGCCACGAGTCTAGGGGTTGATGGCAATCACGATCAAACGTCACGACAGACAGCTTGTCGCAAAAGGTGATACTGAATAGATATGATAGCGAATTTGTGTATGCAGAGACATGCGGTTTGGCTGCCATCGTATTTGACTATGGCTTTTTGACGAAAGCGTGTCGGAAAAAAATAAATTGCGAGCTGGGAAATATGGATATTCCTTTTGTCATGGGGGGTTCAATAAAAGTGGCTGGCGAGGATTATTTGATTAAATTGAAAATCCAATTAGTCGCCTTGTCAGTCATCGTGTTTTGTCGCGCAAATGTTCCCATGTCGGAGATATTCTCTCAAATGCCAAATAAAAAATCAACGGTGCTCTTCAAAATAATTGGTTTTCCACCCATTCGTGTGCACAATATCGCTATAATGGATGCTTTCATATTCATCATCACGACTGAGTAAATTCCCAGGCAATTTTGCGGTGAGCATTCTTTCTCTAATGCACTTCCCCTTTTCTCACGAGACAAATCCGCAAATAATCCAGAGCTACAGAACGGATGATTTTTGATAAATCGTCAACTCATGTGCAAATATGCAATTTTAATTGAATTTATTTCATATCCCAAACAACGTTGATTACAATTCAAAGCGGAGCGGAAATGATTCTTCAGCTTTGTCACAAACACTGCTCTGGAGGAGCCAAGCTCTATCCAGGGTGCGATGGGAGATGCGAGATACCAAAGCGAGGGAGCCTGCAAGTCTTGGCCACACTATACATTATTCGCCAACTGCGGTTCTTTCCATTACAATTTGGTGAAGCGTGAGAACTCATTAGCGAATTTTCTCATTGATTCCTCACTCTATTTTCCCAGTCCTCCGCAGTGTGCTTTACATCGCCACGAAAACGACGTTCTTTTTTGCAGCACTTCCTCGGTGGAAATGGGTGTGAAATGTCGTGGAAAAGCGCCCCAGATCCAACTCAATTTCCTCTCCTTCTTGCACAAATGTCAATTAGTAGCGACTTTAAAGAATGGGGCAAAATAAATTTTCCGCGATGGGACTTCACTTGGCGTTGCATTGAATTGTCGCGCAAAGTAGGAGAGCTTTTGTGGCCATTCTCGTGCGCAAAGAGTGGCAATTCTGCAAATTGTGAGTGCAAAGTGGAACCGAAACAGATGCACTTGAGCACCAATTTTTGTGTGAATAAAGCATTTTGTGAAATGTGGAAATTTACACAAATAATGGACGTCGCGTGAAAAGATGTCTTTCGGGGAATTTCCCCACAAGAATTTCCACTGACAGCCAAGTATGTGGACTGAAGGTTGCTTCTAGCTGAAATATTTCTCAGGGTAATAAATTGACTGACTAAGTTTTTCCCTTATATCTCCTCTGGCCTTTTTAACACTACACACACCAATCTTCTGACCTGAAAGATGTATTTTTGGCCCATATCCTGGCCGAGGAGCATTTCTTCCGCACCGACATGTTTATATTTTACTTAAACGTGAAATTTTATCTCCTTATTGAAGTACGTGGTAAGGGATGCTAAAGCATGTCTCATAAACCTCAACAGCTCCGTGTTGTGAAACTTTTTCCAGCGGAGAATATTGCTGTGTAGGAATGCTTTAAGAATATTGAGATGAATTTCATTGGCAAAATAATTTTACAAAAAAAAGCTCAAGAGAAATTCCTGCACGTGTGCTATATACTTTGAATATTCTAAATTATTCCCATGCTGCAAAATTTCCAACAATGTTATGGGAAAATGAACGAGAAAAACGTACGAGAAGAATTGCGATGGCGGATGAAAAACAGACTGGCAGATCACCTCGAATGTTCATAAAGAAGTAACAACAAAGGATGCTTGTGATTTTCTTCCTAAATCACCGTGTAAAGATGTCATTATACGGAATCAGCTGTGAGAAATCTTTCGCGTTATGATTTATGACCTTTTAATATAGATGTGTGTTCGTTCCCGTCACGCTATGCAAATAAAATTCATATATTGAGCCATTCACTGTTCGCGGTGTGAAATTTCCGGGATTTACCGAAGGTGTCCTCAGCAGACGGGAAATATTTGTCAACCACACTTTGGGGAAAAATTGGTGTGAATGCATATGAAATGAATTATGATAGACTTCCTTATTTATCCAGCAATAAAAGGGCGGGCAATATTTGTTGTTTCAGCCATTAATCATTAATAACTCGGGCGTGCTTTCGATTCCAAAGTTAATTTAATATTCAAGTTCAATAAATAATAATGAAACACGCGGAAGTGTGTTCAAAGGAAATGCACCTCGTGTGTGTGCTTTGAAATCTCTGTACAAAAGAACTCTATTAGGCTGAGAAACCATCATTTCACGTTGTGTTTTTCACGCTTGTCATCCTTTGGTCGGGAAAATCATAAAATTTTCATTTCTCACCGAGCATAAATCATGGACGCCCCGAAATAAAACGCTCCACTTTATCCTTTTAGCCCGGGAAACTCGCTCACGGAAAATTGTGACGCCTCTTCAGGCGCACGCAAAGCTTCGAAGACGATGTGACAAAGGGATCCCCTACCCAGCAAGGGATGGTGAATGGAGTTGTGTGTGCCAAACCATTTATATTCACACCAGTCTCTTTGATTTGCAATATCGCGCACGAGCTTTCAAGCACTTTTCCATCGATTCACATCATCTCCAGACGGAACACAAAACCCAGCAAAACTGCCAAAGTTAAGCAACCGAAAGTCTCTTGGCTGATCCAAAAGGCAAAATTCGCGTGGAACACCTCAATATGAAAGTTGAACTACACTCAAAATCATACATCCATACATTTTCTCTGCACATCCTCCACTTAATGTAGGCTTGTAATCTTTCAACCCAGTTATTTTGAGTGCTAACTCGTGAAAGTGTTTGTTGGCGACTGAAGAAAGATTCTTGGCTGAGGCACAAAAGCCCATTCACAAATGCATTGGAGTGAA